CTCTGCATCCCATTTTCTATTATTCCACTTATCAAAGTGAGTCACAGAGCCAAGACCAGAGTCCGTATGGGAAGGGACTTTCCAAGTGCGTACATACTGGATGGGATGAATTATTACAGCCATTTTTGTAAATAATCTACTAAAGGAAGGAATAAGTCAAATATTTAAAACAAGACCTACATGATCCTGGAGTCCCAGGAGCAAGACCCGCATCAGGCTCCCAGCTCCACGGGGAGTCTGCTTCTCCCTCTGACCTTCTCCCCTCTCATCTCTCTCTCTCCCTCTCTCTCTCTCTCTCTCTCAAACAGATAAATTTAAAAATAAAATAAAATAAAATAAAATAAAATAAAATAAAGTAAAACAAGACCTAATCTCTGAGCTAGAATTTGTTGAAGTATTTGGTCCCCAATTGAAATGTCTTTACTTGACTTGATATCACCAAGGCATGTAGGAAGTGGTTGGAAGATATCTATCTCAGAGACATCAAACCATTTATGACCATGGAGCAGTTTCAATTCTACAACATAGAATCGACTTTAGCCATGAGATTCTTTAAGGGGATATTATTGTTGAAATTTTTCTTTCTCTAAGGAGAGCCTGGGCTCAGACTTACGAACAGAAAGACATCAGGAGAAACAAAATGAGTTGGTAGGATCAGTTATTCTCCTTATTAAAGAGAAAGGTTTTCTGGGGTGCCTGGGTGGCTCAGTGGGTTAAAGCCTCTGCCTTCGGCTCAGGTCATGATCCTGGGGTCCTGGAATCAAGCCCCACATCAGGCTCTGTGCTTGGCAGGGAGCCTGCTTCCCTCCTCTCTCTGCCTGCCTCTCTGCATACTTATGATCTCTCTCTCTGTGTCAAATAAATAAATAAAATCATTAAAAGAGAGAGAGAGAGAGAGAGAGAGGTTTTCCATAAGCAAGAATGAGGATGTTTAAGATCATAAACAAGGAAGGAAGAGACATACACAGATTCTTTCTAGTCACAGATATTTAGAGTAAGAACATGGGGACCGTGGGTAGCCCACAGAGTCACCTCAGCAACCACCATGCCCCTGTGGGTCCTGGTCAAGACTGCTCCTAATATTTGTAGGGCTCAAGGCAAGAATCCATAACGAGGTCCCCACATTAAGTGTGCCAATATTTAAAATTATAAATGAGCTAACAAAAAATATAAAGTAAAATGAATTGCTATATTGCAATCATGTGAAGCTACTACATTTACAGCCCTAATCTGGTCATTTATCTGCCAGATCAGAACACAAAACAATGCAAGAAAATGAACCCTAGGCACTACATGAGAACAACCCAGGAATGCAAGAATATGGTGGCACACCTGCTGAGAGGAAAGATTTTAACAAGCTAATTGGTTTAGCTTTCCTCTGACCTTAAGCTTCTACAACTCAAATCTTCCCACGGTCTAAAAGAGTATCTTTGTCCTTGCTTGGCAGCAGCACCTCTCACGAGCCTTCATAGCCTTTAAACTCAGGAGTGTCCCATTTCGAGGACATAGGACAAGAGAGATGGAGAATCATTTTACCTTGAGGAATGAAGTGTGTGTGCGTGTGTGCGTGCATGTGCACACGTGTACATGCATGTCCCAAGAACGAATGTGGAGAGTTGCAGGTCATGTTGGGCCAGCCCTGAGTACCACCTCCCAAGAGACAGAGGTGTCTTTGTGTACTCTGACAAAAATTGTTTTGTGTGTGTCTGTGAATGAGAGGTCCTCAAAAGCATGGGGTCCAGGGTCCAGTCCCCTCTTGCCTGGGTCTTAAAAAGTAGTATCAGTCTTGGAGCTTTGAAAGTTGAGATGTGCTCAGCAAGTGATGCTTGCTGTCTAGCACCAGGAGCAGCAGTTCTGGGAAGTCAACTTCCTGAGTGGTTTGTAGGCGTCAGGGCTGCTATGAATAACACTCCTTACTCAGCTGCAGATGGAACAACACTTTCCTCGCATGGAGAAGAGACAGAGCAAGAACAGCTTCAACATCGAGTGTCAGCCGCCCATGACCAGCAGCTACCATCCTGCTGACATCTAGATGTCAAGTTTCAATATGGCACCTACCCTCAAGGAGAAAATATAGTCATATGGAAACATGTTGGTTGATTACCTTGGACCCCTGCTCTCTGGCAAGCCAGAACAATCTGGCCTTAGCAAACCATCACCCACTCCAGATATGGATTTTCTTTCTGTGCCAGTAGCAAATTTGCCAGCACAATTGAGATAGGGAAACAAGGGACCCCATAAAGGAGTGCTTTTTTTGTTCCTCTTCCTGCTTCTGTTTTCACTAGGACCTACAACCCCACCCTATACACACCCTTACAGTTCAGATAATATAAGTCTTCCTCGAAAAGGTCAAGGAGTTAATGATTTCTTTGGAGTCTTCCAGCGTGCTAGGTAACATCTAAGGAGATACTGGGAGAGATCATCATGCGTGTTTCCCAACACTCCAGACACCTTGACACCAAGACCCCAGGCTCCAGGGCATAAGGAGCTAAGGACTTACGGAGGATGCCTGAGCACACCTCCTTGTTTTGACCAGTTCCCAAATGCCTGAGAGGACACATACACCAGACCACTAACTTCCATAAAAACCCCAGACATTAAGATGGATGAGACTCATTCATCTTTCTGAGTTTCCCAGACGCTCGGTCTGTATCTGCTCTCTCGGTGTCTTCAGCAAACTCTGTTCTTACTTCCTCTTGGTTTGCATTTGATTTCTTTCCTGTGCAAACCCAAGGACGCTCTTGCTGGTCCTGCGGGACCCCCTCTGGGTCCTCAGACCCACCTTCCTGCATCCCAAACATCCAAAGACTTACAGAATGTCTCATGAGATATACAACATTGCCTCCAGCCAAGGGATCCATTTTAGAGGCAGTAATGTGAGTCAGAAGGCATAGGAGACCCACTGGCAATAGCATATACATAATATTGCAGGAGCAGCCAGACCAGAAGAATGTGGGGTGTTAATAATTTTGCTAAGGGGACAACAAACTCAGGGTTGAGACTTTCCAGAATGCACTATATCCACTGAACCAAACGCCGATAGATGATTCTATGTCCCCAACACCTAAAACACATAGGAACCAAGAGACTGATGTAGGATTAGCCCTGTCTTCATGATTCCTGGTGATGGATGATGTATTTGTGGTTCCCGTCGCTATGACATTAGGCTCTGCTGGATTAGACTGGATTCAGCTTCGCAGGAATCCTGGAGGCAGTGGAGATGATTTAGCATGGGTACACAGGGTGGATTCCACCAAAACTGAAAGAACAAATACAACCACCTTAAAGGAGGCTTTGTGACAGATTCAACACAATCAAGCCACAAACCTAGCAGAGGAAGCATGGGTGGACCATACCCTGTACTACTTCACGTCCTTTTGTCCTGCTGCTTACCTCAGCCACTGGTCAGTTCTCACTTTTCCCAGTTTTACATAAGCTTCATGCAGGCATCATGTCTCAGCCTGCCTTTGAGAACTCTAGCTTCCTGACCGGGGGCTTCTCTGATCCTGAGCACCCAAAGTTTAATGGTACAAAACAACAACTATTTTGTTCCACTCACAAATTCTACGAGTCAGAAACTCAGACAAGGCAGAGCAGGGCTGGGTTGTCTCTGCTCCACGATGCCTGAGATCTCAGCTGGGAGGACACAAATAGCAAGGAGGGACTCAAATCTAGAACAGTGCTGTCCAATAGAGATATCGTGCAAATCATGTACATAATTTTAAATTTTTTAGTTGCCATGTTAAGAAAGCAAAAAGCAACAGATGAAATGAATTGAAAGAATATATTTTCTTTAACACAATACATCCAAAATATTTTCATGTTGACATCAATGTAAAAATCTATCCAGATATTTCACATAGTGGGGAGTGGGTTGGGGGGTTATGTAATTAGATCTTTAAAACCTGGTGTGAAGTTTCTACTTCCAGAACATCCCAATGTGGACTAGCCCCATTTGAAGTGCTCAGTAGCCACATGTGGCTAGTGCTTGCTAGATGGACCAGTGCAAATCTGGAGGCTTCCTCATGCCCATGTCTGGCACTTAGGCTGGAATGACCTGAGGGCTACCTACCCTCAAGGAGAAAAGACAGCCGTATGGAAACAAATTGGTTGATTATCTTGGACCTAGGCTGGGACAACCTGAGGGCTATGCTATTTAGGGACTGTTGGCCAGAATGTTGCCTGTCGTTTGGGCTTCCTCACAGCCCGGCAGCCTCAAGCTAGTCAGTCTTCTTATCTGGTGCCTCAAGACTCCAAGAGTGAACGTTCCAGTGACTAAGGTTGAAATCCATGATTTTCACAACCCAGACTCCGAGGTCACATGACATAGGCTATTGAGTGAACCAGCCACAAGCCCCTCTCCATTTCTATGGCAGAGAACATAGACTCCCCCACTGGGTGAGAGGAGTGTAAAAAAAAAATCTGTGGCCATATTTTAAAAGTGCCCCAGGGATAAAAGCCAAAGGTAAATGCTTCCGCTCTCTTCTCCTTGGCAAAATATTCTGAGATACATTCATAAGGCTCTTCAATAACTCCCAGCAGAGAGGTGCTGAGGAATAATGACGCTCTGGATACATTTTTACAAGGAGAGCAGACAGTATTTATTAATGGATTGGATCTGCGGTGTGAAACAAAGCAAAGCATCAAGGGTCAGGGGTCTGTGTGAGGAATCACATGCCTGGTTTACAGGCTATTCCTGAACTTGAAGGTGCTTAGCTCTTGAGGAAAACACTCTGACTCAGAGGGTGAAATTAACCTCCTAGAAGAAGGATCCTTCATGAAATAGTCTCTTTCTGAGCCTGTATCCATTGGGCAGTTGGGAAAGCATGAAGTCTCCTTTACCATCTACTTCCTGTTGCATTCCCAGCCTTGTTCCCTTTTTTCAGAAATAGCATGTTATCTACTGTATAGCCAAAGAACAGCACTCTGAGCCTCTGCCCTGTGACTTCCTGACCCTCCTCTCTTATAAATATGAGGGCAGAGCTGGGATCCCAGACAGTCAGAGAGCAGAGAGCCAGGAGTCCTCAGCTCTGCCTGCTACTGGGAAGATGAAGGTCTTCGTGGGTGCTCTCCCCTTCCTCATTCTTGCTACTGCCCTTGGATCCCAGGTCCAGGTCCCTCATGGTGAGTTCAGTGAACCTTTTCACTTCTGACAAGGTCCACGGGGAGAAGACACAGGACAACTTGTCCTCCTGAGATAGTTCTCTGTCCCAGACAGGGATAAGAAATTGGCACTTGCTTGAAAAGCAGCAGCGATTGGCTATAGACCTCTCTCTTTCTGCAGGCTTTGGTCCCTGGGGAAAACTGTACAAATGACTGGTCCCCCTTGGGGAAAGAACTCTCTCCCTTTTCATGACCAGAATTATTTGATGCCTTCTCTTAGCTGACATAGGACTGTTAAGTGCTAAATCAAAAGAACTATTAGTAAAACTGTAAATTTGCAGGAAGAAGCATAGAATTCTACAATGTTAGTGTAAAACTCTCATTTTGGAGAGGAAATGGAACAAGCCAGGAAAGTGCCTCATCCAAGCCCAGCTAACCGCTCTATTTATTTAACAAATACCTCGTACTTCCTATGTGCAGGCCGGCACTGTTCTGTCTTATGGACTTAATACATTAGACCCTCCTAACAGCCCTGTGGGGTAGACTATCAGCAACTTGTATAGTTTTGCATATTAGATTATTCTTATTTTACAAATGAGAAAAACTTAGACAACTTGCTCAAGATCATATAGATATTAAGTGGTGTAAATGAGGATGGGAGCTGGTTAGGAAGCTGCTATGGAAAGGCAAGGCCACTGAAGAATTTATTTTGCAAGCCCCACACACATCTTTGCAAGCATATCAAGTATACACATATGCCTCCTTAAATAGAATTCATGTGTAACTCTACAAGAAATGATCTAAAAGTTTAGTTGCATTTGCCTAATTAGCATAATACAGGTCCGTAATCCCTTTTCCAAAACTTCAGGGCTGGATGTGTTTTGGAATGCAGAAATATTCAGTTTTTATTTGTTTTAAGATTCTATTTATTTATTTGACAGAAAGGGATACATCGAGAGAGGGAACACAAGCAGGGGGAGTGGGAGTGGGGGAATGCAGCCTCCCCACTGAGCAAGGAGCCCAATGCGGGGCTTGATCCCGGGACCCCGGGATCATGACCTGAGCCAAAGGCAGACGCTTAATGACTGAGCCACCCAGGCACCCCTCAGTTTTTATAAAAGGTAACACAATATGATCCAGCAGGTCCACTCTGGATATACACCCAAAAGAACTGAAAGCAGGCACATGAAGAGATATGTGTAAACCCATGCTAATCATAGTATGACTCACAATAGCCAAAAGGCAAGAGCCACCCAAGTGTCCACCAACAAATGAGTAGATTTTTTTTTTAATGGGGCATATACACACAATATATTATTCAGCCTTAAAAAGGAAGGAAATTCTGACATGTGCTACAAAACGGATGAATATTGAAGACATTATGTTAGGTGAGATAAACCAGTAACCAAAGGACAAACACTGCGTCCTTCCATCCCTATGAGGCACTTAAAGTAGTTGAATTCAGGGACAGAAAGAAGAATGGTGATGGCCTGGGGGGTTGGGGGAGGGAAAAACAGGAGTTATTGCCCAACGGGTACAGAGTTTTCAGTTTTGAAAGATGAAAAACGTTCTGTGGATGGGTTGTGGTGATTGTTGCACAATATGTGAATGGGCTTTGTTCTACTGAACCACACGTTTTTAAACATGCTTACAGTTGTGTTTATTATGTCTATTTTACATTTTCAAGAAAATAAATGACATTTCTTAAAAGGTAACACATTCCTGGATATTACTTAACATTGATTACAGGGTCTGAGAAGTGTACTTCAATCAAACAAGGTAGTTTTTCTGCAGCAAACACAAATAATCATACTACTGGGATAAATTAATGATTGTGAAAAAAGCCACTCATCACTTTGGGTGACATTGTGCCACCAAATGGGTTAATGAAACATTCTTCTGTTTCCTGAGCCCTTGTGGATTTCAGAAACGTACAGAAAGTATTGTGGTATGTATCACGTTATGTACGCATTCAACTGATTGATTCATTTTGCTTTCTGTATTTCAAAGTCAATCAGATGGTGTCATGTCCCAAACAGTTTCAAGAGTTTCCTGAAACATCCCCGAGCCCTGAGAGAGAAAAGGGCCCTGGAGAGAGACCTAGAACCCAGACAGGTGTCCGGTGGTCCAGCATGAGACCAGCGGAGACACCGAGACAAGGCTGCCTCAGTGATTTCTCTCCCTCCTTATCGGTTTCTCCCAAATAGAACCCGTGGTGGTGAAACTCCGGCAAGAACCCTCAATAAGTAAGCACATTAATGGTATGTGTTCTATTATAGCGTATGTTTAAAAGCAGCAGCTGCACAGATCTGCTCAATGGCTTCCAAACACCTCATGTACAGGCTGGGGGTGAGGGGCAGGTGGGGAGGGTCCTGAAGGTGGTGAATATCCCACAGAGGACCGGAATAGGCCCTTAAAGGTAACCTCTGTTCCCCCCAGCTGTCTCTAGAGTTGGCTCTCCTGGGGGCAGAGGTGCTCACTGACACCCCCCTGCAGGCCTCAGATGCTCCCTCTTCTATCAGAAATGGTCTTGGGCCTGTATTGGCCCTGCCTGGGTGCCCTCAGACACATAGCTCAGCCCTGAGGAGAGTGAAGCAAGTGCAGACAGAGGAGGAGAACATCCCTCTGGAGTCCTGTGCCTTCTCACCCTCCCTGGCACTTTGGAGGAAAGCGGGGAAGGATCTAGTCTTTCTTAAAAAGAGACCCAGTCCTTAAATGTGTCTCTTTCCCCTTGCTGCAGGTTTACACCATCCTGCTGACTGCTGCTCCAGCTACATACAACAAATTCGATGTGCAAAAATGAAAGATTTTTTTAGAACAAGCAGTTCATGCTCCCGGCCAGGTGTCATGTAAGTGCCAAGCTCCCTAGCCATGTCTTGAGAGGAGAGGACCTGATGGAGGGTGTCTAGAACTAAAGTCCTACGCTCTGGATCCTGCCAGGTCCTGAGAGGCTTATGTCCTTAATAGGGTCCTGCAGGGCATCAGATAAGAGATGCTCCCAGGGAAGAGGGAAACTGGGGGGCAGATGGAGGGAGCAGAAGAAAGGCTGCCAGAGGAAAGGTCCATGGTCACTTAGGAAGTCTTGGAGGCTGAGGCAGGGTCTCAGAGAGGAGGTGTCCTGAGCCCCTGCAGCAGAGAAGGAAAAAAACAGGCTGGTCCAAGTGGGAGATCCCTGGGCCAGGGAGGGTGGGGGTCTCCATCCCCATTTGCTGAACGCTCCTTAGTCTGTAATCTTTCTCCACCTTCACCCCAGCTTCCTCACCAAGAAGGAGCGGCGTATCTGTGCTGACCCCCATGTCTTGGAAGTTCAGAACTGCATGAGGTCCCTGAAAAACCTAATGATACTGACAGGAGAAAGAGGAGACTTTCTTGAGAAGAAATGGTACTAGGGGCCAGCTACCCCACATCCACTTGTCTTGCCCCAACTCCCTCCTGGGATTTTCTTGGCCTGAATTATTTTTCAAAAAGCAACAACTACCATTCTTTCTGTTCTGGTTATAAAAGCTATGCATGAATAAAGAGTATCTGATATAACTTTCCTTGAGCTTTAGGAGGAAAAATAAACTATAGGAATTGCTGAAATTTGGATTCTATGGTTTTTTCCCAAATGATATGTCATAACAGAATTTTGTAAAACCTAAACACATTCAAACTCATTCAAACATAGATTGAACCTGTGTCAAAAATGTACTTAACCCATTCAAAAAGGGAACCATAAAACAGAGTCAAAGATTATCTGAGGAACAGAGATTTATATAGTTAATTGGGGATGGCATTCTGAAATGTTAAGTCAGAGAAAAAGAGATTAATATCCTATTGAAAAATAATATTGTAACTCTGGGGATTATCTTTTCTTTTTTCTTTTCTTCTCTTTTTTTTCTTTTAGAGGGGGGGAATGGGGCAGAGGGAGAGGGAGAGAATCTTAAGCACGTCTAGTGCAGAGACCAACACGGCGCTCAATCACATGACCTTGAAGTCATGACACTGAGATCATGACCTGAGCCGAAATCAAGAGTTAGATGTTTAATCAACTGAACCACCCAGGTGGCCCTGGGGATTCTCTTTTCTACTGGACAAAAATCATTTACATCTATGCTAGATAAAAAATTTGCAAGTTAACATAATTTCACAAAGTCAGGAGCCCATCAGTAGTAAATAGAACACCACTGGAGAGGACGTTCCCCCTACAGGAACCCTGGGGTGGGCTTTTTGGACAATCTTCCAGATGACATTGGAAGACCTGCCTGCAGTCATCCTTCTGCATTATTTCCACATTTTGGATATTTTCTCTCAATGGATATAACCTCCCCTCTTTAAAGTTAAGGGACATTAAGAAAAATGTTTAAAGTTGGACTGAACATGGGTGGTGAGATCGAGCCCTGCATCGGGCTCCACACTCAGCACGGAGTCTTCATGAGGGCCTCCCTCTCCCTCTGCCCCTCCCCCACTGAGTGCTTTCTTCCTCTAATAAATAAATAAACCTTTAAAAAAAAAGTTGGAGTGGATATCAATTTTACATTCATATCTATTCAAGCATGTACGTTTATATTCGTAATTAGTAAATCTTGGTCAACTGTCTCAAAATTCAGAAGAAAGCACTAAAATTCTAAACAACAAAAAAATTTTAAATTCAAAGCAAATTTAAAACCTATCTTGCTTCTTGGGTGCTTTGTCCTAAAGAGTTATAAGGAAAAAACTGATTACCAAATATCTGTCATAATAATAAACACTATTAGAAGAAGAAACCTGAGACAATGATGAAAGCTGGGAATTATTACAGCTCTAAACAGGTTAAATACACATCCACACTATGTCTCATCTTCCCCTCTACTAAAAATAGCTAATCTCTGGAGGTTTGACTACAGTGTAGAAAAGCTTCTTTGGGGGCACCTGGGTGGCTCAGTGGGTTAAAGCCTCTGCCTTTGGCTCAGGTCATGATCCCAGGGTCCTGGGATCAAGCCCCGCATCCGGGCTCTCTGCTCAGCAGGGAGCCTGCTTCCTCCTCTCTCTCTCTCTGCCTGCCTCTCTGCCTACTTGTGATCTCTGTCTGTCAAATAAATAAATAAAATCTTTAAAAAAAAAAAAAAAAGCTTCTTTCGTGCCATCATTTGGCAGGCGAGAATTCTACCACTGAACCACCAATGCTCGCGCCATCATTTGGGAGTAGGGGGTGGACAGCATGACTGGGGAGTAGGAGGTAGAGCACAGATGTACACAGTTTAGCCCAGCATTCCAGGGAGTTATTATGCAGGTTGTCCTAGGAAGAACCTCACTTAGAGATACCCTTTTAGGAGGTGCAGGTAAAAAAGGTAGGCAGGCTAGCTGGCAGACCTCTGCCTTGGTAAATTTCATTCCTTCGGGGATTCCTCTCTTTTTTTCTCAGCAGAAGTTCCCTGGTTGTGAATCCAGATTATGAGGATGGGGGCCCTAGCCCTGGTGGGTGACGAGGGAGGAGGGGTGGAACTGGTATGACTTCCACTGAGGTTGTCGGAGAGCTTCGTTTCTAGGGGGCGGAGGTGGTGGGATTTCTTTCTTGTCTTTGACCAGAAGTTGTCCTGGGCACTGCCCAGCTCTCTCCTGGATCCATTGTCCTCTGTGGAAGACTCAAGAGCAGACAGCCTTCTTTACCTGGAGAACTGTCCTTGTAGCTTTATTCTGGAGCAAACCCCACACCTGCCTGCCCTGAAGTGGGGACTAGCAAGGTTGTAGCTTCTTCTCCCAACACCACTGACTCTGATCTTTGTGGTACCCAGGGTGCTGCTGAGAAAATATTTTTTCAATGATCTCCTTTACCAATATGAGGAAAACAGGTTTTTCAGCCTCCTAATCTAGTCATCAAGCAGACCCATGTCCTTTATCCAGAACAGAAATTTCTCATCTTACAGTCAGCTGATGTCATCTTTTCTGATTTCCTCTGCTACTACAAATTTATTTTTGTTTTTGCATTTTTCCTGTCATTTCCATGGGATTTGGGGAGTTGAAAGAGGCAAACGGAGATGCTCAGGGCTCTGGCTTATAGTTTGAACCCACTTACGATCTCTCCTGTTGTTCTCGTCCACTTTACTGTATTCTGTTGAATTCAGCAGCTCTGAGTTAACACCAGCCCACTGAGAACTGAGTGACAGAAACCACAACTTTTGGCTTCTCCATAAAGATTTTGTCTTAGAGCCTCGATGAAAATCTCAAAACGTTGTTGGTTTGAAACTGTGCTAGACCCAAGGGGAAGGTGTGTGATTTCATTGGTTTCTCCTGCTGGCCAAGCTGTTAACTCAACAGAATGAAATGGAGAGCACAGACCACCAGAACCTTCTAGACAGCAGAAGACCAGGTGTCTCCTCGCCAAGGCTTTGGGTCATGACAAGAGCAGCTCAACAGAAATGGGGGGTGGACACTGAGACCTTCCTTTCTGACCAAGCATCTGTTCACTCATAGAAGGTCTTTGAGGTCTTGGAGTGGACAATGGCTTGTTACATCTAGGTCAATTACATAATACATTACTCTATTTTCACAGTTCCTCAAAAACCGCACGCTCATTTTTGCTTCCTTGCTCTCTGCAGTGCCTCTGCCACAAATGCCCCTCCTTTCAACTCTTCCTGGCAAAACTCAATCCAGCCTGCAAGATTTGACTTAGATGTCCCTGTAAAACCTTCCCTCGCTTCCCCAGCCAGGGCACCCACCTCCCTTTCTCTGGAACCCTGAAACAGACATTTACTATCTTTATTCAAACAACAACTGAGGGGTGACTTTATATTGCATGTTGTGGTAGTCAAGATACAGAGAAGATTGAAAATAAGCATAAAATATGACCTCTGTGTGCAAGAATCATATACATAATTCCAAGTTATTATGCAATGCTGGATTAAAGTAATGAGGTTGTTTATATGAGGGGCAACCAGCTGGGGCCTTACACCTCCCAGGCCCCATGCAGGCCACCCAAAGGTTGAAGCTGACCCTTTGAACAGTGCAGGGTTTGGGGCACTGACCTCCATGCAGCTGAAAATCCAAGTATAACTGTCTAAAAACCTCACTAATAACACAGTCGACTCATACATATTTCATATGTTATATGTATTATATACTATATTCTTATAATAAAGTAAACTAGGGAAAAGAAAACATTATTAAGAAAACCATCAGGCAGGGACACCTGGGTGGTTCAATTGGTTCGGCATCTGCCTTTGGCTTGGGTCATGATCCTGGGGTCCTAGGATGGAGTCCCTCATCGGGCTCCCTGCTCAACGAGGAGCCTGCTTCTCCCTCTGTCTGCCACTCCCCCAGCTTATGCTCTCTCTTTCTCTGACAAATAAATAAAATCTTTTTTAAAAAGAAAAGAAAAAAATCATCAGGCATAGAAAATACATATACAGTATTTATATATTTTTTAAAAATCCACATGTAAGTAGACTGGCAAAGTTCAAGTCCATGCTGTTCAAGGGTGAACTCTATATTGAAGCACAGCAATTAGGAAGTGTACTACAGATCTGAAACTTTAGTATGCATAAGAATCACCTGAGGGCACTCTTCCAAGCTTGGTCCCGGGTGGGCATGGTCCGTGAGTAAGGAAATCAGCAAGAACTTAACCACCAGAGAAATGTGAAGTAATACCAGGAAATCAGCAAGTGGAAAAGAAAAGAAGATATCTTAACCACCTCTCAGAGAAAGCAGAGGGACTCTGAGATAATACAAAAAAAGCAGAAGGTAGCTAATGAGAAGTCTATGCAGACAAGAGAAAAATGATGACTATTTGGAAAAATCTGGGTGCTACGGCCAACTAGGTATATCATAAGTTCAATGGTCAAAATTTTGTGCAGTGAACAGTCATATGTTATATCCTTATAAAACTAGTTTAAACTTTACCTTTCAACCTGACTTAGTGTAATGTTTCAGAAACATTTTTCAAAGAATAAAACACTAACCATGCATGTAGGGGGAAAAAAAAAAAAGAATTACCTGGAAGGCTTGTTTAAAATATAGATTGCTGGATCCTATCCCCAGAAATTCTAATTCAGTAGGACTGAGTGGAGCCCCCCAAAATCTGAATATCTAACAAGTTCCCAGGTATTGTTGGTGCTACAGGGTGGAATGAAAATTTGAAGAAAAACTCTCACTTTTGACTTTTCATATCAGCATTGTTTACAACTTTTATAAAAAGCCCATGTTTCTTTAGTAACCAAAAAATAATTTCAAAGAATTGAAAAAATAAATCTTTGTGGTCTTCTTAAGAATAAACAACAAAATGAGCCAGTTCTTGACTTGCGCTGATATTTGATGTTTTTATGATGAAGCTTATCAGAGCTGTTTAATTATAAAATAAATATGCAGTTGAAGAAATTTTAAACATGGCTAAATAAGTCTGACAACCAATTTTCAGTCTTTATTTATTTATTTGACACAGAGAGAGATCACAAGTAGGCAGAGAGGCAGGCAGAGAGAGAGAGAGAGGGAGAAGCAGGCTCCCCGCTGAGCAGAGAGCCCCATGCGGGGCACGATCCCAAGACCCTGGGATCATGACCTGAGCTGAAGGCAGAGGCTTTAACCCACTGAACCCCCCCAATTTTCAGTTTTCAAAAGCAAAAATCTTGGGGGGCCCCTGTCTGGCTCAGTTGGTAGAGTGAGCAGCTTTTGATCTTGGGGTTGTGAGTTTAAGTCTCATGTCAGGTAGAAATTACTTTAAAATTTTTCTTAATCTTTTTTAAAAACTTTTTTTAAGTAAAAATCTTGGGAGTTGTGCAAAATATCTAGAAAAATTGTCTAAAACTTCTCTTTAAAAAAAAAAAACAGGGACACCTGGGTGGCTCAGTTGGCTAAACAGCCAACTCTTGATTTCCACTCGAGTCATGAT